AAGTAAATTTGAGAGAGGAACGTTCCTCAAATGCCTGATGTGTTCATTCATAAGGTATTTAAAAATACACACTGTATGTGCACATATGTAAGAGAGGAACGTTATTCAAATGTCTGGTGACAATAAATGCATCTTAGTTTAGAGAGAGGAATGTTCCTCACGCAAATGTCTGGTCATAACAAATTAATGCATCAGAAGTTCATAGAGAGGGATATTACTCAAATGTCTGGTCATAACAAATGCATCTGAAGTTCAGAGAGAGGAACGTTCCTCAAATGTCTGGTCAAAACAAATGCATCTGAAGTTCAGAGAGAGGAACGTTCCTCAAATCTCTGGTCATAACAAATGCACCAGAAGTTCAGAGAGAGGAACGTTCCTCAAATCTCTGGTCATAACAAATGCATCTGAAGTGTAGAAAGAGGAACGTTCCTCAAAAGTCTGGTCATAACAAAGGCGTAGAAAGAGGAACGTTCCTCAAATACTTAAAAAATCTTCAAAAAGGGAACTTGTGGAGACACATATAAGGAATTTTAGGCCAAAATGACTTCAGATTGTAAACCTTGGGTGTAAAAAAGGGAATTTTGATTTTCCCTTTTATTTTTGGATTGTGTTAAATGTAAAGGACAATAAGGCCACAATTAGTCAAAGAAGTATCAAAACATCTTTAGTTAGTGAAGATTCAATCCTTTAAGATTTGGTTTTGTCCACTTTTGGGTGAACGCTTTTCAATAATAAACTGATTTCTGCTTTTCTCCTTACCACAATTCTCAGGTAAGCGATGTGGCCCATGGGCCTCTCGTTTTTAATTTTAAGGATATATTTGTTATTTGTATATGCTTTCTCTAATGAAATTATTATTTTTAGGTGATAACTCGCTCCCTACATACGAGGAGTGCATTGACAAAAATGTAGCAAGAAAAATGGAAGATAGTCATGTTGGCCAAAGTACATTTCAAAAAGGTAATATTGATGTTTATAATGGCAAAAAATCAATTCTCATTTAAATCAGGTATTCATAACTTTCAAATTAACCGAGCATCAAGTCGAAACCTTACTCCTCTTTTACAAGATGTATTCAATCTAAAGATAGAGCTTTTTGGTGAATAATGTGGATTTACTTTGTTAATAACTATCACTACGGGCTTTTATGTACAAAATCTGTTTTCGTACGAAAATTCTCTGTTTAAGTAGGCAACTGTATGTACCACCAGCATGATACAGTTACCTACGGTAAGTTCCTGTATGGCTATTGCTACCGTAACCTACGGTATAGCATAGTGCATGCCCCAGAAATCCCCTGTATGTGTGAGGAGGCAGAACACTAAAATTCTGCAAGATTTTAAATTGTTCCTTATTGCAAACGAAATACTATTTTATTTTCTTAACATGTTCCCCGCTTTAATATTCAATATTAAATAAATCATGTTTACTTTCAAAATTGAGAAACTCTTGATAGTAAAAACCAAAAAAAAAAAACCCTTATTATTTTTTCTTTGGTAAAGACACAGGCAAGGTGAGTGATGGAAAAAGTAAACCTGTCAATATGGAGGATCGTCATTTTGGTCAATATTTTAGTCAACAAGGTAATTGGAGGTTCTAAGGGCAGGCCCCGGGATCATGAAACATCTTAGCTTAAGTCCAAAAATGTCTTAGATGCTGAATTGTTTTAGAGGCTAAGCAGCCCAAAATGAAAATGCTTTCCGATTTTATATCATCAATCTGCTGTCATATGCAAATTAAGAATTTCCTTTAACAAGCTTTTAAGATTTTATGGATGATAGAAATTTTGACTTAAATATAAGCCTGTTTCATGATCCTGGGGCCAGAACTAAGGTGTTAAGATTGATTAATATTGAGTTTTTATTGTTTAACGCCCCTCTCGATAATTTTTCACTCGTTTTGGAGACGCCGGTGGAGAGCTGCAAATTATGTCCTATACTTGGCACTTAAGGCTTGAGTAAGGAATGATCTTTTTCGTGCCAGCACCTACTGCCACAAGATAACACGGTTTATACAGTTTTAAAAGAAGTATCGGTCTCCACATCCCACAATGGGATTCGACGCAGCAACGTAAGGGTCAACTCCTTATCTTGCGACCCCCGAGAAGACCTTGAAATCCTGTCTGAGTAAAGAAGAATACTTTTTGTACATCAATACTGAGCTGATCTCTCAGATTTTTTTTCTGGATGAAAATGTAGGGTATTCTATATTATAGATAGATTTAAAAATTAATTTTGTTTACCTGATCCGAAGTCCTCAGCAAGGTTTTTGATTCAATTATATCTATTTCCTGATGCTGTTGTCAATGTCACGATTCTTTTCATATAAAAACCTTTTGCTTGTTATATTTCCTGGAATTATATCGCATGGTACGAGAGCCCCTTGAGGGGCAATAACATTTTTATATGATATACTTTAAATGTTAAGGACAGATGATACAAACAAATGATTTCTTAATATCGTGTCACAAGTTTAGAAAAGTGGATAATTCTTAGTTTTTCTCCTAAGAACTGGAAATTTGAAATAGACTTGGAAAATATTAGTAATATTTCTATATAATTACAAATATGGACCAAACACCTTCACTACAGGAAAAAAAATTCAGAATATGTTACCATGGTGCTTAAACCGTAATTTAAACTTTAGAAAAATATACCAAGCCAGGTGAATTTTTCTAAGAATCGCAAAATGGTAAAAATCAGCCTATGTGTTTTTGCTGATTTTTTTGTCATTTTGTATTTCCTCATTAGATTCACCTGGCTTGGTATATTTTTCTAAAGTTTATATTACAGTTTAAGCACCAAGGTAACATATTCTGATTTTTTTTCATCTGTAAACCTTTACTAAGTGTTATTTTTCTGTTTGTTTTTTATTGAAATATTATTAATATTTCAAGTAAGTTTTATTTTCCAGTTCTTAGAATTAAAAATTAGAATTTAAAAAAAGAATTTACCACTTTTCTAAACTTGTGACATATTATAATTAAGTCTCCTCCAAAGAACAAATTTGTTTGTAGCATCTGTCCTTAAATTAACGTGGTTTCCAATTACAAGCAATAAAGTACGAGGGTTGTCTCAAAAAGTCGTAGACAGGGAAAACAGTTTTTTTCTCTTTGCTAAATTAAATTTATTTCCTTGTCATAGCAAAAAGTAACATTTTATGATCATGCATTTCAAGTCTCATGATGATATCACATTTAATAAGAAAATTATGCAAAAAATAAAGAAAGCATGTAAGTGTACATCGGCGCATGACAGCAAACGTAATTTACGTTCCTTATAATCTCATGATCTCCTTTTCTACTACACACGCATCTGTTAACATTCAATATTCTTTTTAAGTGAAAGACCACTGTTGACTAAGGGACTTATTTAAATTCACTACTGTCCTTTTTTTTGTTGTTGTTGTTGTTTTTCTAAAGCAGATTCAAATTTCAGTCGAACACTAGTCGAAAGATTGCCTTACATTATAGGCAGCAAAGAATACACGTTGTTTCATGTCGTTTGTGACCCAGATTGTTCCCCATTGTCTGCGTTTAACAAACAGCATACTTTACTTCTTACATGCTTAAACTTTTTTTTCGATATAACTCTCATTGAATCTCATACCATTTAAAAATAACATCTCTATTAAAATCTAGTGTCTAATGTCACTTTTGTACTCTCTTTTCTCGTCTTTGGTGTATATTAACCATATCCAAAACAATTTATTACATCTCTGTGCGCCGGTTATGCGTTTGACGACGTAATTTGCATCAAACACAATTCCAACAACACTTTGAAAATCATGACACCAATCGTCTGTTTCTAATGCCATTTTAATGAAATTTTGACATATTATTTAGACTTTGATTCGGGTTTCACTGATCTAAATTTGAGTTCAATATTTTACGTAGTACTAAAGAAATAAAAGCAAATGTAACAGTTATATACTTAGATTATTCCGAATTTTGTTCGTGCGCCGACAGACCTTAGCAGCCTTCATATAAATCGTCCTTATATTATAGATATGAAAGATATATATTTAAGAATTCACGATTTTAAAGAAAACTGAACATATTATGCCTATGCTAAATTTGGTGAGTATTGGTTGCATGTTTAAAAAGTAATAAACATTGTCTACGACTCGTAGTTCTTTATCTTCGTTTTTCCCGTAGTTTTAATATAAAAGAAAAAATAATAAATAAATAAATGAAAAATCACTTACAGAATTTTGAGATTCTTTTAACATTGATAAGGAAATGAAACATTAATAAAATTATTATTTTTAGGTGATGACTCGAGCCCACCTGATGAAGAGAACATTAAAAAAAATAAAGCGATAAAAATAGAAGATAGTCACTTTGGTCAAAGTACAAATCAAGAAGGTAATATTGATGTTTGTAATGGCAAAAAATTCGATTCTCATTTAAATCAGGTAATCATAACTTTCAAAGTAACCGTTCATTAATCAAGTCGAAACCTTGTAAACTCCTCTTTTACAAGAGGTATTCAATTAAAGATAGAGCTTTTTTATGAATAATATGAATTTACTTCGTTAATATCTATCTATATCATTACTGGCTTACAATGTCTCTATAAAATTCTTTTAAAAAATTAAAATTTAAAATTTAAAAAATTCCGGCTTTTTTTCGTAACCCATATCATTTTGAAATTTATCTACAGTTTATCTACAGAACTGTACGATATCCCCCCGTGTACATAGTAATTCTTAGTAGGCAATTTTACTTATCCCCAGCATGGTACAGAAACCCACGGTAAGCACTTGTATGGCTACTACTACAGTAACCTACGGTATACTACAGAACATACCCCAGAATGTCCCTGTTTGGTGTGACGAGGCAAAACACTAAAATTCTGCAAGATTTTAAATGTGTATCTTAATGCAACCAAAAAAAAAGCTATTTCATTATCTTAACATATTTTGTCGATAAATATTCATTATCAAGTAAATCATGTTTCCTTTCAAATTGAGAGACTCTTGGGAGTAAAAAAGTTTTTACGATGGAAAATGTGAAACTCTCAATGAGGAGAATCGCCATTCGGGTCAATATATAAGTCAACAAGGTAAGAGGTGGTTCTAGTGTCAGAAATAAAGGTGTTAAGATTGATTAATTTTTCATTATTTAACGTCCCTCTTGAGAATGTTTCACTCATATGGAGACGCCACAACTTGCGATTGCCGGTGAAGAGCTGCAATTTCTGTCTTATAGTCGGCACTGAGGGTCATAGAGCAGGGAGACATCTTTTTCGTGGCAGCACCTACTGCGACACGGTACCTGGGTTTATACGGTCTCATCTGAAGGACCGGTCTCAACGTCCTATACTGGGATTCGAACCCGCGACGTAATCAATTCCTTACTTCGCCTCTCCGGAGCAGACGTTCGTAAGATGTTTTTGCTTGGTGAATTTTACAAAAAATCGCAAAATGGTAAAAATCAGCCTATGTGTTTTTGCTGATTTTTTTTTTTTTTTTTTTTTTTTTGTCATTTTGTATTTCCTCATTAAATTCACCTGGCTTGGTATATTTTTCTAAAGTTTATATTACTGTTTTAGCACCGAGGTAACATATTGTGATTTTTATTTCATCTATAACCTTTACTAAGTGTTATTTGTCTGTTTGTTTTTTTATTGATATATTATAAATATTTCTCAAGTAAGTTTCATTTTCCAGTACTTGGAATTAAAAATTGGAACTTAAAAAAAGAATATACCACTTTTCGAAACTTGTGACATGATATTATAATTAAGTTCCCTCGAACGAACAAATTTGTTTGTATCATCTGTCCTTAAATTAACGTGGTTTCCAATTACAAGCAATTAAGTAATTCTTCATCTTCATTTTTCCCGTAGTTTTAATATATATGAAAAAAAAAATAAATAAAAATCACTTACAGAATTTTGAGATTCTTTTAACATTGATAAGGAAATGAAGTATAAAAAAATTATTATTTTTAGGTGATGACTCGAGCCCACCTGATGAAGAGAACATTGAAAAAAATAAAGCGATAAAAATAGAAGATAGTCACTTTGGTCAAAGTACAAATCAAGAAGGTAATATTGATGTTTGTAATGGCAAAAAATTCGATTCTCATTTAAATCAGGTAATCATTACTTTCAAAGTAACTGTACATTAATCAAGTCAAAACCTTGTAATCTCCTCTTTTACAAGAGGTATTCCATTAAAGATAGAGCTTTTTTATGAATAATATGAATTTATTTTGTTAATATCTATCACTACTGGTTTACAATGTCTCTTTTCGCGTTAAAATTTCCGGCTTTTCTTCGTAACCCACATCATTTTGAAAGTTATCTACAGTTTATCTACAGAACTGTACGATATCCCCCCGTGTACATAGTAATTCTTAGTAGGCAATTTTACTTATCCCCAGCATGGTACAGAAACCCACGGTAAGCACTTGTATGGCTACTACTACAGTAACCTACGGTATACTACAGAACATACCCCAGAATGTCCCTGTTTGGTGTGACGAGGCAAAACACTAAAATTCTGCAAGATTTTAAATGTGTATCTTATTGCAACCAAAAAAGACTATTTCATTATCTTAAAACATATTTTGTCGATAAATATTCATTATCAAGTAAATCATGTTTCCTTTCAAAATTAAGAGACTCTTGAGAGTAAAAAAAGTTTTTTTTTTTATTTCTTAGGCAAAGACACAGGCAGGGAGAACGATGGAAAATGTGAAACTCTCAATGAGGAGAATCGCCATTCGGGTCAATATATAAGTCAACAAGGTAAGAGGTAGTTCTAATAACAGAAAATGAAGGTGTCAAGATTGATTAAATTTTCATTGTTAAACGTCCTTCTTGAGAAGGTTTCACTCACATGGAGACGCCACAACTTGCAATTGCTGGTGAAGAGCTGCAATTTCTGTCCTATAGTCGGCACTGAGGAATCTTTTTCGTGGCAGCACCTACTGCGACACGGTACCTGGGTTTATACGGTCTCATCTGAAGGACCGGTCTCAACGTCCTATACTGGGATCCGAACCCGCGACGTAATCAACTCCTTACTTCGCCTCTCCGGAGCAGACGTTCGTAATATGTGTGTTAAGACGAAAAGTTTTTGTACATCAAAACTCAGTTGATCTCTGAGAAAATTTTTTTTGTGGAGAAAATGCTGGGTATTTTATGTTATAGATAAATTTATAGATAGATAGAAAAGCCAATACAAATAAATGTAAATATTTCCATTTCTAATTTTTTTCTCTGTGATAACTGTTTGAAAGTTGGGGGAATTTATTTCTTGATAATTCTGCCGAAATGTAAATTAGGCAGGTCAAAAGGTCAGCAGCTAAGGAGGCCTAATACGCGTTCAAATCTCCTGCGCATCTGTCTCTGAATCTGACGCTAAGGAAGCCAAATATGCATGTAAATCTCGTGCGGCTGCCTTTGTGTTTGACGTCAGTGTGCGAGGACTATTAAAATTGGCTTGGAAGTCCTCGTGTAATTTAAATCTATTAGTCTACATTTTTAATGTCTAAGTCTACAATTTTATTTCACAATGAAATGGAAATATAAGGAATCACTGTCTAGTTATGAGAGTATGCCAGGGACATCAACGATAGTGGGAAACATGGGATAATTTTAGCAAAACGGGCTTCGCCCGTTATGCAAATTATCCCATGTTTCCCACTATTGTTGATGTCCTGGCATACCTTCAAAACTAGACAGTGATTCCTTAAATAACTCTTTTAAGTCATATTCATTCTACAAATTTTAAATTACTGCTCAAGGGGGTTTAGCTCTGTAGCAATGTAAGATTGATTTTTTTTTTTTTTTTTTTAAATGGGATATTTTATTGATCTTATTCACCTAAAATCATTATAGACAATTCAGATGAATTAGCAGAAAATATATCTACTGGAAGTGAACACATGAACAGAATAGCTGTGAGTGATAATCAAGGTAATTATTTATCTACAGGAATTCCTGATAGATGGAGATATTTCATTTTTTTCATAATAAGCAGTCTATTTGTTAATGTTTAGCATCTATATGACATCTGTTTTAGTTATCTTGTTCTTCACCTCTTGTTCACATCTACTAATATGTAGCATCTAATAATAGGTTATTCCTCCCATCATGCCCTTTATACATATGATGTTACCACAGTCAATTTCAAGATTATTCTGCGATAAAAGTTATTCAGGTTTTTTTTCAATTTAAAACTACACCCATTTACAAACGGAAACAAATAAAATAATTGCACTTTTCCCATTTTTTTGTCAAAGAACCACTGGGACATACACGAAAAAACTTATATGGAAGATTTCTTCTAAATAAGAGCTACAATAGGACAATCCTAAGCAATTAAATTTTTACATTTAAATACATGGGAATAAGTCTTGATTGTTTTTTTCTTTACGGACAGAAAACAAGATAAACAAGCATTCGAGAGTATTGCTTATGCAATAACTGTCCCCTACCGAGTTCCCCTTTTTTCTTTAGGATGTCATTTCATAATATGCAAAAGTTATGAAAGATGTTAAACTGGTTGATGTTAAAATTTTGAGGTTGTGCATGCTTTTAATCTAAAAAATAATCCACATGAAGACTAAAATAAAACTCATATTTTCAACGTCTTTTCCTCGCTTCATATTTACCATGTTGACCTTTGGTATTAAGCGCAGCATGAACCTGATCTTACATATAAACCTTTATGAAAAATAAAAAATGTCATAATTCTGTCAAAAATCAATGAGGCAAAACGACATTCAAACTGTATCTGCAACTCAGCAAGATACACTGACATACCAAAATTCAGCTCAATATCTGCAAACCTTTAGAAAAAAAAGTGCGGAAAAACAATAGGTCAGAATGACAGAAAGACATGAGGACATACCGACAGACGGAAAGACGCAAAGTCACCGGTAGGGGACTTATAATAAGTCCATGCGTTTTCCCGACTGACTGCCTAAACAGGGTTAGACTCAAAACTCATTTTAACATTCTGAAAAAAGATTGTTTAATCCCCAGATTTTCTCATTTTGTAATCAGATGCTCTTGTACCTTATTTCACACTTACAATGTACAAACCCAAATCTTTTAATTACTCTAACTCAAGAGATGACGAACAAACATGATGGCCTAAATTAGATCTATTTGAAAGCCCGCTATTGTACGGCAGATTGTAGATTGTACAAACTATGATATATAGCCAGGGTTAATTTTGAATCAGGAAAACTGATCGACGTTTCTTCGAGGATTATACATTTGTACTAGAAAATATGTTAAATCTTCTTACATGCATATGTAAAGAGGATAGCATAAGCAAGGTTTTTCACAAAAACATACATGTAGAAGTATCCTCAGTCAGAAATTGTAGACTCTAGAAACTCGTGACCACTAAAGAAGGATTTTACTACAATGGACGGATTAAGATTTACATAGGAATATATGTAGTTTGCTGGAAAAATAGCAGGATCATAATAACTCAGAAGAGCCTTTAACTACTTGTTATTTCTCTGTCTCTTTTGAGGAATAGTTAATTTCAAATTTAAGACAATGTTTCTATCAATTTCTTTTTGCTTCTTCAGATTCCAAAGATATGACGAAAGAGACGACAGGAAAAATTTTTATAGAGGGAAATGTTGCTAACAGAGTTCAACAGTTTCAAAACAATACAAGCTCATCGGCCATTCCGTTTAAAAAGTAAAGCAAACCTGTGCAATGTAAATAACCAATGCAGGTCAATCAATATCATGTACAGAACGTTACATAAACCAAACTATGTGAGACCAAAATCTCAATGTGATTAAAGTCCTTTTTGATTACCATCAGATGAAAATGAAAAAAAAATGTTCGGTTGAAAACTTCATTATGTTGTGATGTATGGTCTAGTTGTAACGTAGGGAAACGTGCACACATGAGATCCTTCATCTGAAAACTTACAGAAGAAGATACTGTATAGGCTTTATTGTGCACTCAAATACATGTATAATGTTCTGATCAAGATATGAAATTGGTTTTTATATGTGTTGCCTTTTTATATCGCTTTTTGAGCCTTTTTATCTAGTTTTGAATACATGTAGATGTATGTGTAGAGATAAGCATGTCTTTAACGGTAGGTTTGCAAGCTTAACCATAATAAATTCGGTTTCTAAGTTTATGAAATAAAACTTGTTATGCATTTTTTAAAACAAGAATTCAGTATTTTGTATAAAAGATTTAACCTCTTATCTAAGTTCTTGAGCATATACCAAAACCAAATAGAAAAAAAAATATGTACAGTGTAGAAGTATTATGCCTTCATATGGTAATAAATATTAAAAATGTATTTTTGAGTGTCGTTAAAGTTTTTATTCGTTGTGATGTCTTTGATGAATAAAGGTTGTTGTATATTTGCATAGAAACTGAGTTATGTTTAATAGATTTTTAGCTCACCTGAGCGGGAAGGCTCAAGTGAGCTTTTCTGATCAAAATTTGTCCGTTGTCGTCGTTATTGTCGGTAGCGTCGGCGTTGTTGGAATGTATAGGAAAATTCTTTCAAAATCTTTTCAAGAACCATTGGGACAGGAAAGATGAAACTCATGTGGAATCAATTTCAGGTAGTGTAGAATCAAGTTTGTTCAAATCATGACCCCCGTGGGGCAAGGGTGGCGCCATAATGGCCGATCAGAGTTTTACATAGGAATGCATAGGGAAAACATATTTTTCTAAAGAATAGCAAATCCATGTTAGTGATATTTATATGGAAGCATGCTCAGGTAGTGTATAGATTAATTTGTTCAAACCATAACCTCCAAGGTTAGGGAATGGTCTCAAAGGGGGATCAAAGTTTTAATAGGAAATAAAGGGAAAAATCTCAATACCAGAAAAGCTGTGTTAAATCATATTGATATGTAAGCATCCTCATGTATTGAAGATTTAACTTTGTTCAAATGATGAGGACTCTTTGGGGTAGAGAGGGAAACAATGGGGAGTCAAATTCAAATTATTACAAAGTGTTATATTCAAACAATTTTTTTATTTGAATCTATAAAATTAATATCTTTTTCTCAAGAAGTTATTTGCAGATAGAATTGATATGGAGGCATTCTCAAGTCATATTAGAATTCAAGCCCCCCCCCCCACCTCACCCCTCAGTAAATTATTCAATTTTAATCTGATTTGTGCTTTTTCATAGACGATGTGCTCAGGTGAGCGATGAGACCCCTGTGCCTCTTGTTATTATATTGACGAGCTATCCAATGTAATGCTTTTGAAAATCTTTCAAAAATTTCTGTAAGATGAACCAAGACCATATTGCAAGCAGGATCCACATAATATGTGTTATTCCACTTTTAAACCTAAATACTTAAATTATGATTAATGTATGTTAATAAGTCTAAAAGCCGATTCTTTTAAATATCTTTCTTGCAGCAGTATGCACCTTTTCCACATTTTAAAAAGAAATTAATTGAATTGCTCTGAAACAGATGAGTATTTGAACAAATGACTCATCTGTTGGAATCTCATCCTGAATATTATTAGATGATGGATCCTGCTTTTTTCCAACTATACCTAATGGAGGCAATTGTAAATTAGATTTCAAAAGGTCCATAAACCCTCCCAGCCAAACTTTTCTTTTATATCTAACGATATAAGTTTTATTTTTGGAAAGATTTGAATTCTATGATTAAATACCAAGGCATTCACCAATAAAACCCAACCAAAACCCATTAGACAAATCAATTATTACTAGATATCTGAATTCATTTTCATCATATCCAGCTTACCAATTTGCCATTCTACTTACTTTCACTAATGTCATACCTTTTTATGGAAGGGTTGGCCATATCTTTGTTCTTTTTAGCTCACCTGAGCCGAAGGCTCAAGTGAGCTTTTCTGATCACATTTTGTCCGTCGTCCGTCCGTCTGTCCGTCTGTCTAGCTGTCCGTCTGTCTGTAAACTTTTCACATTTTCGACTTCTTCTCAAGAACCCCTGGGCCAATTTTAACCAAATTTGGTACAAAGCATCCTTGGGTAAAGGGGAGTCTAAATTGTTGAGAAAAGTCCCCTTACACGGGGAGATAGTCAAGAAAAGACAAAAAATAGGGTGGGGTCACTAAAAATTTTCTTCTCAAGAACCACTGGGCCATGAACGCTGAAACAAATGTGGAAACATCCTTGGGTAATGTAGATATTAAATTGTTAAAATCATGACCCCCGGGGGTAGGGCGAGGCCACAATAGGGAATCCAAGTTTTACATAGAAATATATAGAACAAATCTTTAAAAATCTTCTTCTCAAGAACCACTAGGCCAGGAAATCTGAAACTTATGTGGAAGCAATCTTGGGTAGTGCAAATATTAAATTGTTAAAATCATGACCCCACAATAGGGAATTCCAAGTTTTACATAGAAAAATATAGAACAAATCTTTAAAAATCTTCTTCTCAAGAACCACTGGGCCATGAACACTGAAACAAATGTGGAAACATCCTTGGGTAATGTAGATATTAAATTGTTAAAATCATGACCCCCGGGGGTAGGGCGAGGCCACAATGGGGAATCCAAGTTTTACATAGAAAAATATAGAACAAATCTTTAAAAATCTTCTTCTCAAGAACCACTGGGCCAGGAAAGCTGAAACTTATGTGGAAGCATCCTTGGGTAGTGTAGATTCTAAAGTTTTAAAATAAAAAAGGGAAGGGGGTTGTTGGGCATGATAGGTATAGCAAGAGGGGGAATCTGGTAAAGATCTGCATCACCCAAGTTACTCTGGTGAGCGATGTGGCCCATGGGCCTCTTGTTTTTTTGTCGGGTGTAAAATTTTCTTAGGAACCGAATAAATTGCTGTGTTGTTTGTTACAGTAATAAAATGGTTGGTTGCTTCTACAATTGTAAAATTTATTTTGGGAACGACAGGATAAACATACACGGCACTGCTTAACTACATAGTAATTGAAATAAGCCCCTTTCGGGATGGGCCCTGATGGTGCGTCTTTATTTTCAGTATTTACTTTTGTCAATAGATCATTTACATGCAATTCCATTTGAACATAACCCCATGCAGCCTGTCCTAGAGATACAAGCTGTCTAAATTATGCATCCTAATTTTTCCAATTATCTTTGGCATCAGCAATATATCTTACTGCCTGTAAACGACTGGCTTATTTTGACTTCTGTTCCGGATATGTTATACAATAAATTGCTGAATACATATTCAATGTTGTAATTCAGATTGAAGAAATATTTGACTTGTTTTCGACATCATTCTCAACTTGGTGAATGGTTAAATTCCTCTGAGAAACACTATTTTTTTCTTGCAACGAGAACTTACCCTTTTTCTGTTTTTGCTTTTATAAAATTTAACATATCCAATGCACTAATTAGACCATCTATTAGTCTTGATTTGGTCAGACACAGGAGCTTCTATCGCCACTGCTGTGCTGACAAATCATGTTTGTCACCTAGCTACTTTTATTTGACTCAGTGGCCTAGGGCAATACACTAGACTGAAACTTTACAGTGGCACTTTTAACAGAGAAGGTAATCTGTTGAGATTCATGCACATTACTAATGTCTATACTCCCCTGATTATCCAAATTCGATGATCTAGTGTTGACAACTTCAATAATAAGTGTTGTTTTGTTATTGAAGCCGAAACCCCTTTAATTACAGATTTTGGTGATTTCTTCAACCAAATCACCAGGTACCGAGATTAATTCTGCTACTTATCGTCTGTTTCCTGGATGGAAAGTAGTGGGTTAAACCACTCGTGCCCTACTTGACTGGCTCTTTGGAGGCATTGTACATGTATACTGTTAACGTATTATATTTGGCTGTGTTCTTTTTAACGCCTTTGGCGGAAAGAAACTCCGCTAATTCAAGTACAACGCTAATTTAATGTCTTGCACATATATTCATAATAAGAATATTAAGAAATACGCTAAAACAAATCTACGCTAACGTGTTCAAAAGTCAGTTTCCGCCAAATATCGTACACGCCAAATATAATACATTTACAGTATATACTAAAATATATATACTTTTAATTCTTCAGTGATGCTTGTCAGTAAAAAGTTAGAGATATCATGAGCTCTCTATTTTCTAGATTTTTCATGTAAATAACACAAACATGTAAACACATGTATCTTAAATTCGTCTTTTTTAAAACAAATTCTGTCACATACTATACTTTTCTGAATAAGACAGTTACCTTTGTAAATAATGCTGATTTCAAAGAGTAAAATCTCCTCAAAATGTTTCATATATTGTCATCAGGAAACACAAATAATTTGTGTTGATAATTGTAAGGAATACCTCGTTAGAGTAGTTTATTATATTGTCCCCAGGAAACACAAACAACTTGTGTTGATCCTAATGAGAAAGTTTGGTGCATCCATTTTGATTTACGTAAACCTTTGCGACTTTCGTTAATATTTATTAAATAACGTATTTTGTCATGTTAAGACTATTTTAAAAAGAGGAAGAAATAATTTTATATAATTATCTGAACTTTTTGAGTAAAGACGTTTTAATATTCTGCACGGAGATAAACAAACAGCACGTATACATCTGTCAATGCAATGCACAAGTTGCTGTCCTTTAAATACGTGGGCCATAGCATATGCATGTTTTTCTAACCGAAATTCAATTAAGAAAATTTCTAGGTGTAGTGAATATTCATATAGGTCTATTCACATTAATGTCATTTTCTACATAATTTGCCTACTTATGACTGGTTTTACATGTACATAGTCTCAAAGCAAAATTGTTTAAATTTTGTCTCCGATTAGCGGCCTATAGTTTTGTCAGATTAAAAAATCGGGCTATTTTGATACATATAACCCAAAATGGCTTGGACTTGACATCTGTTCTGGATTTATACGGAAGAAATCTATCATGGGAAGAATAGAGATCTGATGGTTCACGTGTAGCACAGCTCTGTAGTACGCATATTTTTCTGCCCCCCCTCCCGTTGCTACAGACCTCTATCAAACTTAGCTGCAGAACTGTAGCTCTAGATCTCCGAAAAAATTAATATTGATAGACCGGAGAGCTACAGTGCCACCCATTGAAAAAGATTGTATATTTATTGCGCGCAAAAAAGTGCACTCGGCTCTGGATTAATTCTTCCAAATTCTTACCTCAATTGCAAATAATAGATTATAATAAAGTCTTTACTCCTCTATCAATTACCTTCATAGTTTACATCTGTACGAAGCGCGTTGAACTGAGTTATCTTGCAAACCAAAATGGCAGTATAAATAGGCCAAATTTCCGATGATTTTAATTTCAGGGCCAGACGGGCTATTAAAATCAATCATAATGAATGTTTTGGTCTGGAAACAGTGAAATAATATGTTAGGAACACACGGTA